GTTTTTCCCCCCTCAGCTCTCTGCATCCCCTTCACTGCCGTCCAAATATTTTTTCCAAAGCACAGATTGCAGGGCCTTCGGGGCTCTCCTGCTGTGGAGTGGAGCCCAGGGCCCTCAGCACGGCTGCACTGGCCAGGCGCCCGTTTATTTCAGTGATGGGACCCAAGGCTAGGTAGCCCAGCCAAAAGGTGGGACAAGCGGGACCCCAGACCTTAGGCTCAACAGACCAGACTCCGGGCCCCTGTGCCTCTCCTCTGGTCTCTGCACTGTGCCTCCTTCCTCCCTATGTGGGAATGGCGCCCTCACGTGGCAGCAAGTTCACCGCTGACAGATTCCTCCTCTGACAGGCCTAGCCTTTATCACCTCACCTGGGAAACTTCCAAGGCAGGACTCCAGCTGGGTCTCAGTCACCGTGGCATCACTGTGGCCAGAAAGGTAGAGTCCGTGTCCCTGGGGGCTCCCACAGAGATCAGGTGGGCAAGGGGTGCAGCGTGAGGTGCTGCCCCAGCTTAAGAATGGGGTGCCAGCAAGCACCATGACCCACTAGGGTGGCCATAGGTATTCAGCTGCCTTTCCAGCCTGTCTTTGCCCTTCTCATTGAGCTATTTCCCCTCCTTCAACTGCCACCCACCCCACCTACGGCCCCGGCTCTTCACAGCCTGACCCTGCACACTGCCACCCGCTCTCAGCTGCTACAGCACACGGACCTCCTGGCTGCCCCTGAACAAAACACATGCTCTGGCTCAGGGCCTTGGCAAGGACCCCCTCACCCCAGGAGGACGAAAGTTTTCGAATGTTCACTGTTATAGCCATTGTTGTTTTTGAAGTCTAGCAGGTGCCCAAAAGATATTTGTTGAATGAATGAATGAACAGAGTGTGAGTGGACAGCAGGGCAAAGGCTGGAGCAGTCGGCCAGGCCTGGGAAGTGTGCTAAGGGCAAGGACTCTACCCTGCAAAGTGGGACCATCACACGGTTTCATCTCATGCTGGTGAAACAGGGTCAAGCGTCCCTCTTGGGCACAGCAGAGGGCAGCGTGGGCATAGAGAAGGGCAAGCGAGGCAGAGAGAAGCCCTGGCGAGGGGTGATGGTGTGAGAGGAGGGAGAAGTGGGCCGTGGGACACTGCAGTCAGATGACTTGGGAACTGGGTGGGGAAGGGAGGGAGGAGTCGGGGCGGCCACAGTTGTCTGGCTTGTGGAGCTGGGCAGGAGGAGGGTCCTGGCGCTCACAGCTTGTCCAGCTCCTGGGGAGAGCTCAGGGGCTCCGTCTGGACCATGCAGAGCTGAAGGGCCTCTGGGACTTCCATGAGGAGTGACCAGCAGGCTCTCGGACGGGAGTCTGGGCTGGCGTGGGAAACTGTGGGAGTCGTCAGAGCACACATGGTGACAGAGGACGAGAGAGGGAGACACTGTGGCTGGAAGACAGCGGGAGAGAGAGGGCCCAGGGCAGGGAGGGCGATGAGCTGCCTATGGCAGGGAGGGATGCACAGTCTGCAAATGAGGCAGGAGCCGGGCGCCGGGAGAGTGGCCTCAGGATCCCCGCGGTGGGCAGTTCTAGGAGCACGGAGCACGGCCAGTAGCTGCTGTCCTCAGGCGGACAGCGGGCACAGCAGGGTCAGGGCATGTGGCCAGCTGGGCTCCAGGGCCTGCGGGCCCCTTGGAGGGATGGGCAGCAGCCGGCTCTGTCCGTCTATAACAGTCACTCTCACCCCTTCCAGTTTTTCGCCTTCATCACCACCCTGCTCTACGTGCTCCACGCCTTCAGCATCTACTACCACTGAGGGCAGGAGTCCTGCCCGCGCGAAATGCTCCTGTAACGCGTGGACCATGGCTCCCGAAGGTCGCTTCAGCATTCGCCATCTGGATGACACACAGACCAACAACACGTCAGTGGGACTAACAGACGGTCTTTTCAGATGAAATCACACTCCGCATAGCCTCCTGGACATTGCAATCCGTCGTGATGACTGTGAACAGGCTGCGTTGTCTTTTGCCTGGGAAAGTGACTGGTTCCAGAAAACGAGCTTCCAAAGCCCTCAGCGCTGAGAATCCCAATCCACCAGCGTCACCTGGTGGATCCACCTGGCTGGGGACCCGTCTCAGCAATTAGGGTCCCTAGGCAGGTGTGTGGGAACGTGCAGTCTTAGTTTCTTAAAGCCGAAATGGTGCTAGCAAAGCCTCCCCATCACATCTCTGCTTAGATGCAGACCCTCTCCCGCCCTGTGGTTCTGCTCTGATCGGCAGCAAAGACCAGCCACACTGCCACCCCATTACATCCCCCTTCCTCCCCTCCCCAGCTACGGGATCCAATTTAGAGACTAGATTTGCAGGAAAAGAAGTGATTGACTCTACAAAATTGTTATACAGTAAGAGCTGGGGGTGGGGGTGGGGGTAGGCTGCAGGACCCCACCCGACAAGGACTAGAAGCCACCTTGCCCCCCATGAAAGACCTTCAAGGAAGGAAGCAGGATGTTACGTACAAGGACTCTCCCCTGGGCTCCTCTCCCGCTATGCGAGGCATTTCAGGAGACCGGGAAAGGACCCCGTCCAGGGATGTGCTCTTTCGTGGGTGCCCACCCCCCTCAAGTGCCCGCTGTGGTGCCAGCAGAGAGGAGCCCGGGCCACTCCGCTGCCTCCTACAGCACGGGCTCACATGGCTGGACACATGGCATCCGACTTTTGGACCATTTTCAACGAGAAGGCTGGCGTTGTGCACACAGAAACACAAAAAGAGGTGCTTGGTTTCAAAGTAAAGGTTTTCCCTGAGAAACACGCTGTGCATCTGGGATTTCTCCACACGGTCCTCGGCTCCCCGGTGGGTCTCCTGGCCTCTCGGCTCGGGCATCGCGGCTCAGGCATCGCCCATAACCGCACACACCTGGGACTCCTCTTAGCTGATTTAAGGGCTCACAGTTCCTATCTTCTGCTCCTGGGAGAAGGGGGACAGGGAGTCACCGAAGAGAAACCGGCATCCCTGTCGTTGACTGCTGGCTTCCCAATTGCCCCGCTATCTTGAAAAGCCCCCATTTATCTCTCTCTTTCTTGCCTGGCAGCTGCCTGGGATGAGCACTATTCAATATTTACCGAGTAGCCACATCCAAATAAAAGGTGTTTTACAGTAAAACATGCCGAGTGGGCCACTTTGGTGATGCTAGAAGCTGGGAACGCGCTGTGTCACAGCCTGACAGCCTCTGTGGAGGTTTCTCGGGCCCAGCCCCCCGGCCAGCCGTGTGCGAGGCCACATTTGTCTTGGGCAACATGTCCACCTCAGTAAGGACAGTCTGGGTACAAGTCCCAGAGCCAAACTCGCGCAGCTGAGGCAAAGCTGGGGGCGCACCGGCTGGTCCTGGGTGGGGAGCAGGCCCCTTGCCAGCCCTCTGCTCCTGCTCTTCTTCCTGGGGTGCTGTCCCCTCTCCCACCACCCCGCAGGCCCCCCTCTCACTGTGCAGACCCTGTGGGCCCAGCCCCGAGCCCTGCCCCACCCCTTCACCTGCAGCTGACGCAGTTCCAGACTCGCCATCCCCTTCCTACCTTGGGGGGTGGTCTCCTTTACTTCTAGGGCCCTCCCTAGGCTCCTGACTTTGCAGGGAAGATCCCAAGGCACCCCAGCAGGAAAGCAGCCCAGGGGCCAGGGCACAAGCTCATCTCAACTTCACTTTCCCATCTGCACCCCAACTTCCCAGCATCCTGCACCCAAGTCCTTGGCTCAGGGTGTTGGGCAACCGCAGACCAAGCATCCCACACCAGGTCCTGAGCACCAAGCATGTGGTTGTCGGGGCTCACCAGCCACACCCCTGTACCAGCCAAGCAAGTTGGCGGGTTAGATTTGCGGTTTTGACCCAGACAGCCAGCAATTCTGCTTTGGCCAATAACTGGGCTACAATCTTTCAAAGAGATGAAACAGTAATAAAACATTAATATTTCAAAAACAAGCAACCATCCTGGCCCAGTGGCTCAGTTGGTTGGAGCATCATCCGGTGCACCAAAAGGTTTCAGGTTCGATTCCCCATCCGGACACATACGGAAGGCAACCAATTGAGTTTCTCACATTGATGTTTCTCTTGCTCTCTCCTCTCTCTAAAATCAATAAACATATCCTCAGGTGATGATTAAAAAAATAAGAAAAACATCATACCTCTGGGGCAGTGGTAGGCAAACTGCGGCTCAGCAAGCATGTAGCTAGCGAGCCAAAGTTTGCCGACCACGGCTCTGGGGTCAGCCAGAACAGGACTGGAAAAGCCCCAAATGACAGAATGTTTGGCTCCCCCCAACCCACCCCTGACCTGTCACTGGCCTTCGTGTCCGGAATCTGAAGTGGAGCCTGTCTCAGGGAAGGCTGGACGCTGACCTGGGAGAACCACATGCAGGCTCGTCAGCAGCATGATGGGCGGCGGAGAAGCAGCACCAAACTGCTGATTTCCCCCAAAACCTGCAGAGCTAGATTCTCCCTCAGGTGGAGCTGGTCTTTCTAGGATAGCAGAGGACTCCCAGTCCCCATGCTGCCACACACCTATCCCTCGGTCACCATGCCCCAGGCTGTGTCTCTGCCTCTGTCCAAATCTGTGCAGTACATAGCAGCAGTTCACCTGTCAGCAGTTCACAGCTGGGGAAGGTGTGGCATGTCCCTGGTGACGCTGGGCCACCTGGACAGAGGCTCAGCCCCCAGGAACTCTTACTGACCTAGTAGACCTTGTCCTCGCTGCGCTGGGACTTGTCTCTGTGGAGTTCAGCCCGTCTCTGCCCCAGGTGTGTGTTTTATCGAAGGAGAATGTTGGACATGGTGACAAAGCACTGGGCTGACTCAAAGCCCCACCTAGATGCCTCTTTATTGTAACTAGGCCACCCAGGACGCACCCCGGTTTCTGTTGGCCTTACAGTGTCCCACTGACCTCCCACCCCTGCACCATAGCCCGTGGCTGCATCGCCCAGGGGACTGGAGCAGCAGCAGCCCCTGCCCATCCGTCTCCCCCAGCTCTGCCCGTCTCTGCCCATCCTCCCCTCCAGGCCCTGCTCCTGCACCAGCTGCTCAGTGACACTGCATCCTCGCCTCCCAGGGGAAGCCATCCCAATTTCACATCCAGATGATGCGTGCTCAGGTCGTAGGTCAAGGCCTTAAACCTCACCCCGGCGTTTCTCCACATTTTCTTCCTTGCTTTGACCTTTAACCTAAGAAGTTTCAAAGCACAGGAAACAGAAAATAGGAACCAGTTTATCAAAACACGCAGAATGCCATCCCAGGAAGGTCAGCCAGCCCTGAGCCAAGCTCTCCTTCCACTTTTGCATTCGCTCCAGGGGGATGAATTAATGCGTGTGACAGGCAGGGCCCCTGACACCCATTCCAGGCGTCTTCGTTGCTCCCATGATCCTGCTGGTGGTGAGGGCTGGATTCTGGCAACTGAGAAGGAAGCAGAGATCTCCTGAGGGTGGGGGCACGGGGTTCGGGAAAACTCTCGCTTTCCTGAAGGGGTCAGGCATGACTGGCTGTCTTAGGCTGAGTTCCTGGGGACAGGATCTCAGCCGGAGGCTGTGTGTGTGCAGGTTTACGGAGGAGGCTCCTGGGGAGATGAACCTGGGACAGGTGAGGGGGGTGGGACAAGCCGAGGAGGAGCTGGCCCGAGTGAGGTTGCAGCCTGGGCCCGACGAGCAGCTGCCCCTGCAGAGTTGCCCTGCCTGGCAAAGGCACAGGGCAGAGCCTCTGTCTCCCACATCAGCGCCATGGGCACCAGGTCATTTCTTGGGGTGAGGGTGCAAAGGCAACTGCTCTCCCACGGGCCTGTCCCCGGCAGCTGGAGGTGTCCATCCACCTGAAGTGGTGACCTGGGTGGCACCACCACACCCACTGCTCTGTCCTCTCCCTTCCTGCCTTGAACGAGGACATCATGGCTGGGGCGACTTCCAGGAGATGGTGAAGAAGCTGGCCAGACAATGAACACTGTTGGACCAACACCAGTCACTGCTTTCCTCAGCGTTTTCTGTTTTGTTTGTTTTTAAAATTTGTTTCCATTGATTTTTCAGAGAGAGGGGAGAGGAGTGGGAGAGAGAGATAGAAATATTGATGAGAGAGAAACATCACATTCATTGGCTGCCTCCTGCACATCCCTCACAGGGATCAAGCCCCCAACCTGACCAGGAATCGAACCAGCAACCTCTTGGGTGCATGGGTCGACGCTCAACCACTAAGCTACACCAGCCAGGCCTCAGCATTTTCGTTTTCTGTGAGGTTGACTCCCATTGTGACTGACTCTCTAAAAGGCATTCTCCTTCCCACCTCCAGCGCCCGGCCTTGCCTCAGAGGCCCCCCCTCCTGCGTGGCTCTAGGCCCATCACTGGAGTCGCACACAGGACCTGCATGCCCAGAGCCAGGTTCTGCCTTTAGGAACCCCCGCCAGTCTCCAGCCCGGATCAGATTCTGTCCCTGCCTGGCCCAAAGTCCTTCGCTGCCCTCAGAATGAAGTCCAGCCTCCTTAGGAAGTGGCCACCAGCCCCCTGCCCCTGATGGCCCTGCGTCAGGATGGCCCTGTGGCCGCTTGGCCCTGCTGCTGTGGCCACAAGTGGTGGACTTTCTGTTCTCTCTCCCTGGGCACAGGAAGCCCTGATCCTCTTGTTGCCATGAAGAGCTCTTATTTGTCCTGCAGAACATCTTCCCGACTCCTCCCTCCCCACCCCTGCAGTAAATCACTGCCTCCTCAGTGCCCCTGCCCCTAGGTGCGTGCTGCTGTCCCCACTAGGCCGCAAGGTTGCCAGGTCTGAGCCTGGCTCTTGGATGTTTCTATCATCTTTGCCCATCCCCACCCTCCCGGGACCAGCCCCACCAGCCTCTGCTCTGAGTGCTCTTCCCAGCACTGTGGGCAGGGGTGGGGACTTGCAAAGGCCATAGCCAGCCTGCAGGGGCAGTGGCACAGCTGGCTCCTGCCCTCCCCGTCCTCATCTCCAACCCCACGGTCTGACATCCTGGGAGCAAAGGCTGTTCAATGCCTGTCTCTTTACCTCCTGGACTTCTGTGTGGCAATCCAGCTCCTTCCACCCTGGCCTCTCATTTACAATGAAGAGGAGCCCAGCCCACCACCACCGGGGCCTGGCCTAGCTCTGGTGGCCTCTCAGGGCCCTGCTGCGGGCCCACCATGGACAGCTGGAGCACCAAGGCTGGCCAGCGTGCTTTCCAGTCCTCCCCTGGTTCCAGCCCAGCACACAGTAGGGCTAAAAAGCAGGCACTCGGGTGCCCGACAATCCCACAGCCTGTGTGTTAGGGAGCTCGTCTAAGGGAACTGCTAAAACCGTGGTTCCGAAATGTCACAGGCCAACTGGAACAGCACGTGGACGTGGGGCCATGAGGGTCAGTTGTGGCCGTGAGTGTGAGGGCAGGGGTCCCCTCCCCTCTGTGTGGAGGAAGCTGGCAGTGGCTGCTGTGGCTTTTTAGGGCGCCTCCTTCCTCAGACCCCTGTTTCTCTATATGGAGACCTGCTCTTGCCTTTAGGAAGAAGGGGTGCAGCGGACCACTCTCCTGGGCCATCTCCGCCAGGCTGCCTGCCAGGCCACAATGTGGGGACCATGAGTGCAGTGGAAGCTGTGAACTTGGCAGGGCATGTGGACTCTTCAAGACAGGTTTCTCACCCACAGCGTGGCGTGCTGGTGGCCTCCCCTGACATCCAGGTCCAGGTGCCTCAGGGTGGAGACAGGCCACGGTGGCTGACGTCAGATGCAGTTTGGTTACAGTGTGATTATGGCTAAGGGTAGTCATGTCGAGTGCATTTAAGTCACCTCTCCATATGCACTGAGAGGAGGGCCGCCACGATGCACCTGTAACAACGGCGGCAGCAGGTTTGGGAACCTGTGAAGTGTGATCGTCAGTCACTTGCACAGTCAAACCTGGAGGGAACCCACGAGGGCGCCAGGTCATGTCCCTTCCTCCAACAACCATAGGGAGCAGCCCACCGGCGTTAAGGTGATGGAACTGTTTCTCCTCTCAGAGTTAAGACTGTTGAGAGAAAATAATTCAGGAGCCGTATGGAGGGAGGCAGGACACGCATTGACAGTTCCGTGCAGTTACCTGAGGTGGCCACTAGAGGGCCAGAGAAGTGGTCCTCCAGGTGGTGTCAGGGCTTCAGGGCTGGAAGCGGTGGGGCC